AAATGATGCATATTTTGTCTGATTTATACAGTGTTACTAATTCCTCATGCTGTGTTATAACACAACTTCTAAACTACAATCTTGCAAAATGATGTATATTTTGTCTGATTTATACAGTGTTTATTAATTCCTCATGCTGTGTTATAACACAACTTCTAAACTATCTAGCAAAATGATGTATATTTTGTCTGATTTATACAGTGTTACTAATTCCTCATGCTGTGTTATAGCACAACTTCTAAACTATCTAGCAAAATGATGCATATTTTGTCTGATTTATACAGTGTTTATTAATTCCTCATGCTGTGTTATAACACAACTTCTAAACTATCTAGCAAAATGATGTATATTTTGTCTGATTTATACAGTGTTTATTAATTCCTCATGCTGTGTTATAGCACAACTTCTTCATAGACTGGTACAGGTTATCAGGCACAACATCACACAATACAAATTCACAATGACCATAAATCACAAAATCATGAGATGATAACTTTCTACCTGTAAATATCTACCAACATTTGTCACAAAAACTGGAATGTTTAGAAAATAAGGATTGTCAGAGTTCCCAGTCCTCACAGACAGTCAACTTCCACAGTTTAACAATGTCCACATTCTTAGCTTTGCAACTAATAAAGTATATTTCATCTCTGCTACATGTCTGTTTGACAGAATGAATGATAATCTACATATATCAGATTAGCAAACACTGTTCAACAGCTCAGAATGTAAAAGCCACAATGCATTTTCAGCTTTTAACTAATTATTCTCACTGTACAATAACTGAGTGACTATACAAGACACTCTATACACTTCTTATCGTGAATTATTCAACAATGGCATGGAATATCACTATTTTTAGAAAAATAATCCTTCAATTTACTGACCATATAGCTACTGGTCAAGCAGTAACTCCAGCCATAATAATTATGAGGTCATCATCAGAGCAGAATGGTATTTCTTCATCTCAAACAATCACATATTTACTACCAGTGTCTTCCTTCTCATCAATTGAGATGAAAACATTAGATAACAAAATGCTCCCATCATCCAAGTCAAAAGTTATGTTTCTCATCCAAACACCAGGAGCTTCAGAGAACAACTAGTTAACCTCTGAACTGAGTGGATGACAACAGAACAGATGTTTTGAGAGTTGTGTTTCTCATCCAAACACCAGGAGCTTCAGAGAACAACTAGTTAACCTCTGAACTGAGTGGATGACAACAGAACTGATATTTTGTGAATTGTGTTTCTCATCCAAACACCAGGAGCTTCACAGAACAACTAGTTCACCGTTTCTCACATGCATACTATGTCATCATGATGTATATTAGGTTCTCAGTTTTATCAAGATTCAGAAACTTAACAAGTGTATGCTGACAGCTCATACCACCCAATCAGCCAAACCATTACATGTTATAAAAAATTATACTCCTTGTTCAGCCATCAGGATGTGCTAACAGGTCAAACTAAGAGTCTATAATTCTCTGGTAGAGTTTTCTTTAGTGAGGCAGGTTTTCCCTCTAAACATAAAACTACTTTTACACCTTTGCAACAGTGCATGACACTCCCTTGTACCCTCCATTCATTGCATTCTGCAAAGTTCTGAAGTACTATGAAAACTACTAAATAAACCACAAAAGATTTATATCTTAATATTATGTTACAACATGTTATCCTGTACTATAATCTGGCTATTATGTTCATCAGTACCACATTTCTTATAAACAGCCATACTTTGCTGCAAGGCAAGAAGTGCCCAAGATATTGTCTGGATGCTACAGTTGCTCATTCTGAAGTTCCTAGCTAGTCATTTGTGGTGTCCATCCAAATCCAGAATTTTCAGACTCGTGCTGCAAAAGCTTTGGCTACTTCACAGTGTTAAGGATCTCAACATTCGATGAATCAACAAAATTTCATTGGTTAACAAGGTAATATGTTGGCATTTCCAATATTCTAGACTGGGTGGTGGTATACAATGAAATTGTACTCTTGCAGCATTACCGTATTACACACACAAAAAAATCGTACCTTCTAAATTTTTGAAGTTGATTAATCATTTGCCTTAGACACAACTGTCCTTCTATATTAAATGAAGTATGGAAGATAGCAGAAGGAGTGCCATGACAGCCTTACAACAGAGCTTTTAAAAATTAAAATGATGCTTCAGTCACAAGTTAGAGCATGTCTGGACATGGCAACATGGACTGTAACAATGTGGTGAGGCTTCAAATTGTTTTAATATAAGATACTCAGCCTCTGGTAATTAATTCAATTATTTTAATTATTTTCTGCTGTAAAAAATAGATGCAAATAAGTAGGATGTGCAAGAAGAAACAATAGCTTGGAATTAAAAGAAACTGTAAGTAGAAACATTATCCATTTTTCTATGAAAAAGGATTTAAGCACAAATGTCAATTAGCTATATACAAAATTGTATGTCTATTAAAGAAATTCAGGTCTTTAGTATAATCAAAGGTTGTTTTTTTTTAGGAATTATTTAACAACATTAAAAAATTATAAAATCAACAAAACTAAAAGTTATAGTTTTCCTATACTGAAAATGTATTTCCAATAGGTATTTCCCATTTCCAATTGAGGAGTGCTGCCCTCGATATCCAAACTTTTTCTTTACACATGCCACAAGCCTTTTACTACCCTTATTAGAATTACTATCTTCCAACATGTCTCTCATGTAAATCATCATGCATCATCTCTTAACCCTCACTTCAAAGTTTGGCAGAAGACTTAATCACCGGAGAAGTGAGGAGGAAAGGTGGGAAGTGTGAGGGGAGGTAAGTACCTATCGGAAATACTAGAAAATTATAACTTCTGATATTTTACTTACCTCTACTCACAAGATTAACTAAAATCCCACATTGAGAAGGAGGAAGGACGGGTGCAATGGAACGAAAGAAGTACTCTGAAAAGTGTCCGAAGGATACCCGTGACAATGAGAGAGATAGATCCAAAGATCAGGAGAGGGGAGCCAGATATACTCTTTGCCCATGTGTGAAATGTGTAAGACAAGATATGTGTACTCGGTAAGTCAACTACATTCAAAACCTCCTGGCGAGGGTAGGATGAGGATCATACCGTCTTCACCTCAAACTCAAGAATCTGGGATTATGACGCACATCAATTTCTGGGTATGACAGGAGAATCATCACTGATCTATCGATCCAGGAATCAACATCTGGTATCGAAAGAATGTCAATTGCATGGAATCAACTTGTATAAGGACTTTAGGTGATTGGTTCACTCAAATCCAAAACCTTGCTGGATGGCGTGGCCTCTTGATACCATTTACATAAACACTGGAGTTGAGCCATCAAAATTTCAGTTCACCCCTTCGATTGGAAAACCTTGTCCTACCCTAGTGACGGCTCAACTTCTGTGTGTGAGTAAATGGTATAAGGAAGCCACATCATCCAGTAAAGTGATGGCTCAACTCCAGTGTTTGTGTGAATGGAATCAGGAGGCTCTAACAGTCAAGTTCCCACCAGACCCGAACCCACAGGGTAGTCACCGGTACTGTTGGCAATGTGTGTTTGATTGTTGAGGAAATTGACAAGAAGAAGTAGCCCAATTAGAAGGAATGAGTAAAAGTTGGGAGGATGAAGGATGGGAAGCAGGAATAGGTGGCATATGAGGCTCTGACCAAGACAAAAGGGCTATAAAGTCGTAAGGGATGATTGCTGGTGGACTGATGTCACCTGACGCTCAATAGTTTCTGGGACTGTATCAAAAACGTAACGTCTCAGGAAAGGTGCAAGACATAAATCACTGAAATAGGTTGAGGGTAAATTGACTGATTCCCTCACTTAATTATGAGACAAATTAATCCGCATTTACCTGAATATTGGGGGGGGAGCTTGTTCGTGTATCAAGGAATGACGAGAGGAATAAGAGATAAAGGAAATGGACAAAACATCACAAACCTGAGACACAAAATCTCTAAAGACCGAATTAAGCCTAAGTGATTCTTCAGGCTGTAAATGGGAAGGAACAGCAAACTCAGGAGGCAGAAAAAGATTATCAAAATCCTCATCATTCTGAACAAGTTCAGCTAATTCAGGAGGAGACAAAGGTTGACCAATGTAGTGCTAAATCTCCCAACGTATAAAAGCAGAGAGAGATCTACCATCAGGTCGCCTGCACCTGAGGCCTAAAAAAAACACATTGGTGTGCCCCCAAAGTTGTAACCTGAACTTTAGAATTCATAGCATAAGAAAAGGTTCGCAAATGTCAAGTGCAGAAATAGAGTGACAAGAAGGAACTGGTATAAAATAAAATCACACTGGAAGCACTAGGCACACAAAAGAGTACATCTTAGCTCAAATGCTGCCAAACGAGAAGTGAAGGTTCAGTAAAGGAGTGTAGAGGGAGTCACATGCATCATGTGAGCATATCATGCTACTGTTGGTTAAGAGATGACGCATGATGATTTGAATGAGAGACATGTTGGAATATAGTCATTCTAACAAGGGGTAGTAGAAAGCTTGTGGTATGTGTAAAGAAAAATTTGCCACATAGAGGGCAGAACTGAACGAGAATAGCTAATCTTGTGTGAGGAGGTAGTACAGTACCAAAAATTAACAGTGTCTAATGCATAGTAATGTGACAATACTGATCAATTCAGTATGTACCTTTTCAAAGAAGCAGAAGAATGAAAAAGCAATTAATGCTTTAAAGGTAGCAGAGACAGTTATTGTATTATTAATAACGTTTTTGTGTTAATGACAAAAAGTCACTAATTCTACCAAAATTAAAAATATTCCACTTTGAATAATATCATCCAATACAGACTTGCTTTACCTACTACACTTCAACTTGAAGGAACATTAAAGAAATTATGTCTGGCATAAAAAGTAGTTTTCTCAATGTAACACATTAATGTGTGAAGGTGAAACATTAAGATAATTGTAGTACATGTGCTAGTTTGGACTGACAAATAAAGATATAAACAGAATAACCAATATGCAAAAGTGTAAGTTCACCTGCAGTGTCTATTCCTAATTTTTTCTCGTACTTATTGTCTTCTTTTCTTTTTCTTTTGTGCTTATGTTTCTTTTTCTTCTTTTTTTTATGTTTCCTTTCTTCATCACTGGTACTGACTTCCCCAGAACCTTCATCACTGTTCAGTTCACCCAAGCTTTCTAAACTTTTTTCTCCATCACCTTTAACTTCTTCTCCACTACTTGTGGTAATCTCTCCCTCTTCCAAAAGTTCTGCTTTCTTCTGTGAATTTTCAGCAGCTTTTTGTAATGCCAAACTACATTTGAGGTCTTTAATAAGTATTTTACTTTTAGATAGAAAGTTTTTCTTGCTAGACACAGTACTGTCACCAGTATTAACAGATTGAGGCAGAAGAGTGTTCAGTTCACAGTCTTTATCTTCTGTTGGTTCAGGTTTATCAACAATTTTAGGAGCAAAAGATGCAAACTGGTTCATCAGTGTTATTTCTTTATCTGAGTTTTCTATTTCACCTACAGATATATCTGGTGAATTACTTGAATTACTATTTGTTTCTGTATATTGTTGAACTGATTTTGCATTCACGTTTTCACCAACACTTTCTGGTTTACGTACACATTCTTGTTTGATTTTATTTGAATTTTTTCTTAATGAAATTTCTTTTTCATTACAAGTTCTTTTACTTTCATGTGAAATTTCACCTGTTTCTTTCGTATTTAAAGAATTTTTATGATCTTTGGGTCGTAAGCAGATTTCATTAAGATTTTTATCACTACCTATGCTGAAGTGACCTGCAACAGTTCTTTCTTCGCCATCTTTTTCCAGTAAAATATCCCGAGTACAAAAAGATGTAGGAACTTTATGAACAGTTGTATCACTGTCTCTGTTTGATTGACATTTACTTGTCACCTGTTGACTAATGACATTTTTAGTTCCCATACTTGAAATAGTTTCCTGGTGAACATTTTTATTGTCATCATATTTTAAGGAATTAAAAATATTTTGTTTTTTTTCATCATTTTGTTTTAATTTTACACAATCATCAGAGTCTTTATCATTCAAACTGTTTATTGTTTTTATGATATCCAATTTTCCTTCTTTTATCTTATTATATGCACTATTGTCTTCCCCCTGTAAAGTAACAAAAGCAGTCATTTTTGTGTGACTACAAACTTCTTCTTTAGATTCTAAAGCAGAGTTATCCATTTCTCTTTTTCTCCTAAGTGTTCCCTCATCATTTTGCAGTTTTTCAATTAATTCATTTTCACTACAAACAGAGCTGCCTAAAACAACTTCACAATTTTTGGGAAGTTTAACCAGGTTTTTTACTGAATCTAAACAATCAACATCCTCAATAAAATTCATTTTTGTAACAGGAAATTGGATAGATGTAATTTCTGTTTCATTTTTACATTTGTCATTATCCTTAGGCTCGGAATTTTCAGAAATGTTTGAAACACATGATTTCAAAACAGCCTGGCTCTTAATTTCTGGAGAAGTATTTCGATCATCTTGTTTTAATACTTCCTCTTTAGGCCTAGTTTTAGGCCTAGGCATATCACTAGTTTTTGAAACTTTTCTCTTCTCATTTTCTGAGTCATAGTTTTGATATCTTCTTTTCTTTGACTAAAAATATAACACATATGAATGATGGTCAAAATACATTCCCTTTTTGAAATAAACAGCATTTTTGAAGTAGTAAAGTACACTAGATATATTTAAATATATTTTTTATTGCATCTTCTTAAATCACTTCTTTAAAAGAGTATAATATGTGAGTGCTTTAGTAAACAAAGATTTCTCAATAACATTTTGTGCTGTAAACTGGAGTATTTTTATTTTTACTATCAAAAACTATTTTATGTTTATTTATCAATGAATATTTACATGTAGTATACTTCTCTTTTCCTTTTCTTTCCAATTACAGACTTACCCTGTTTTTCTCTTTTCCTGAATCATGCTTTTTCTTTTTTGATTTATGCTTTTTGTGTTTCTTTTTCTTTTTACTTTTCATATTTCTAACTGCTGTTTCATCATCAGAGCTACACAAGGTTTCAGACATTTCTTCTTCTTCAGTTTGCTCATTTTCAGACAAACATTTATCTTTTAGCTCTTTAGAAAGAAACTGGGCTAAAATATCATGAACACAAACATCAGGTGAGCCTTTTCTTTTTGATGACATCTTTCAACAATATATTTGCAAAACTTCTTGCACGTGTCAAGTAGCCCATTAAAATGTTTCAGTCTTCTAACAGAACTCAGTATCAGTAAACAAATTTTTCAACTGGCAATGAAACAATAATTAGTCTTCCTTACATTCTCCATTGTTACTGTAAGAGAAGAAAATATTATTTATCATAATATTATTTTCTTAAATTTACAATGAAGTACACACTGTTATTTACTTTTGGTCATTAATACTACCTCCCCCCCCAAAAAAAACCAAAGCAAACAAAACATGTATATATATATATATATACTGTTACGTATTTGCTTGTTTGTTAATTTCTGGTATAAATTCTTTCCGAGGAACTTCAGGGATACAAGTCCCTTCTTGATTAAAACTAGTTTCTTCTTTCTCAAAACAACTTTGTAATACACAGAATTTCCAGTCACTTTAAACTTAACAACTTTTTTAACACACCCTATAAATCCCAGTGATTCACACACTTTACTTACGGTGCCTACTGTTCACTTGACTCAATTATCTATCACTTCAATATCTATATCTCTTCAATCGCATTGGTTTTTCTCACCAGGTTTATATACTAAAAAAGAGGGCACCTCGAACAAATTAGAGTTGCCAGGAAAATTCATGATCCTTCGAGAAACTCTAGTGCGCATGCTCCCAGCGTTGCGTGACTTCCGCTGTCGTAACAATATTAATGTTTCCAGTGGGATTCCTCAGTGTTAAGGCCTTTGCCACCATTGATGACATGTATAAGGGAATGGTCAATAAATAATTTAAATTTGCTGAAGATATTAAGGGCTTGGGTGTTTCAGGCTTTAACCCTTTCACTGTACAATTAATTCTTAGGCTGGTTCCCAACAAATGTCAATTATCCACCAAAAAAAAAAGCATGAATATGACCCTTTCTATTAGTTTTTCAATACTGAAAGAAGCTGTATTTTCTAAAGGATTTAACAGTGTTGATGATTTAATGGTTAGACTAAGGGTCACAATTATAAATTTTGGCAGTGAAGAAGAAATCTTCAGATAAGACACATTTATTTTTTTAAAAGGGCAACTGGTCTCTGGAATAGGTTGTCTTAAAATGTGGTGGATGTACTACGTTTAAGGGAAGATTTAATAGATATTTGAATGGTAAGGTCTGGCTTTGAGTGTTTTTTTATTCTAAAGTTTGGTTAAGTGATAGAATGGCTGAGATGGACCAATACATCCTTTATTGTCCTTACATTTTATGTTAAAGTCTTGTAAGGTGCTGTTGTCCACTACTGTAAGGAAAACTCTTTCCACAAGAAAATCATCCATCTAACTTAGCCTAGCCTATCTTTTTCAACTGAGATTGAAAATAAAGAAATTTGAGAAAAGAAGGGTAAGAGGTGATTATTTTTTTAAATGTTTACGTGATTATCTGAAGAATCAATATAATAATGGCCTCCGACTTCTTTGGACACAAGTTTAAGGTTTGGAAAAGACAGTTTCATATTTTTGATAAAGTGATCAGTTTATGTAATAAGTTGTCACTGCAACAGTGGAAGCCAGCACCTTACTTAAGTAAGATGGGAAAATAAAGGGTTGATTAAAATTTGTTCTTATTTCTGAAGTTGGTGTGCAGAACAACCTTGAAGTATTAAATGGCCCTTTTTTGTCTGTAATGTTAAATCTACCTTGTCCTTACAATGAAAGACTAAACACTATATACAATAAAATTTTAAAACACTTAACTGTCTACCTACAGTGTACTTTTGAAACATCAAAAGACAGGTAAGAGTACATTTAAAATAGTCTTGACCATCTATACTGTATTAAACTAATACTTGAAATCCAAAATACTTCAAAATTTACTACCTGAAGTTCACATTAATATTTGAAATCCAAAATACTTCAAAATTTACTACCTGAAGTTTACATTAATATTTGAAATCCAAAATACTTCAAAATTTACTACCTGAAGTTCACATTAATATTTGAAATCCAAAATACTTCAAAATTTACTACCTGAAGTTTACATTAATATTTGAAATCCAAAATACTTCAAAATTTACTACCTGAAGTTTACACAAAAAGGAATATTTTTAAACACAAAAAAATTTAAATAAAAAAAAAAGAAGGGAGTCATGAATGATTACCATTTAAAGCTTTCTTTAGAACAAAGAAAAACAATTTGTTTACTTACTGTAATAAAAAGAGTATATACAATTTTATACCAATTGAATCTTGAATGATAATCTTTGATATAGTCTGAATTAATACAAAAGATCAATTCTGAGGAAAAAGGGTAGAATATTATCTAAGTCAAACATTATTAAGTAGCAGTAATAAAACTGAAAGATGCACAAAAGATATAAATGTTACAGTACTTGTTTAAAACAATAACAGCCACACTAAAACAAGCAGAATCTGTAACTTAAAAGAGCAACTACAAATGTATTATACTGTTACGTCTCCGTTTGTTAATTGATTTTCCGTAAATTCGTTCCGACAAAACTTTAGCAAAACAAGTCCTTTCTTAAATAAAACTGGTTTATTCTTTCTGAATACAACTTTACGATAGATTCAACTTCAACAGTCGCGCTATAACAAACTATAATTCACGTCTCACGAGCTCGACTTCAACAATACGTCTCTCTCTGACTGCAGTTCAATTACTCATTAGCTAGACACATTGTCCCGTCACGTTCTGACCATCTTATAAATACCAGATTACCCCCAATCTAGTAATCTCCCGATAATTCCCGAAGGTTCGAGAGAAGAAGTGGCGTGATACTAGTCATGTGACCTCGCTGACGCAACAATACAATAATTACTACAAACAAAAATAAGAAAGATAACAGAAGGCAATTCAACCATCCAATAAAATATTACATCCTCAAATCACGCTATAAAAATACAAGCTTATAATTGCATTAGGAAAATAATTTTGTCAAAAAAAAAGTCAGTATTTGGAATTTTATGGTAATTACCTTTAATACTGAAATTCATAGAAGTGAAAATATATTACTCTAATCTAAGTGTAGATGGTGCAATTTGTATCAATAATACTACAAGAATATAACAATTGTATTACTAAAACATTATTGCCTAGTAATATATTACTGTGTAAACAATTAATGGGGTACTTTGTTGTTGGCCTATTTGGTATTCTGCAGCATGCCTCTTAACAAAATTGGCCTATTAGTTTATCAGAAAATAACAAAATTGGACTATCAGTTTATCAGAAAATGTCTAAAAGCCATTGAACATGGCAAGAATCGAAATATTACATTTCTTGCATTCCCGAGGAATCAACTTTGCTTGAGAAATTTTATCTTTTTAGTTGGCTTTTCCAATTGAGAATGCATGGTCCATATGGATATATTGCATGGATTAAATTTAAAAAAACAATTCATGAGAAAATGTAATCTTCCCGATAGCTTTCCCTCAAGTGAATGTAATTTTATTTCATTCCTTGCATGGTACTCTTTTGATATGTTATCGTCTTTATAAATAGTGCACTTCCAGTCACACTTATTCAAATCAAATCCACAGTAAAAGGTACGGAGAAAGTTTTGTGTTGGAAAAATATTCAAAAAACCACTACTACTTCAATAAAATACACAAATTAATCTAATAAAATATTACATTTACACTGAAAATGTTTTAAGTTGATTCATAATTTACCATGTCCACCCCATTGGCTCAGTTGCAAGGAGAAGGCTTATTGATGCTAAAAATTTGGTTTTGATACCATTGCATTGGTGGTAACAGCCCAGATAGTAGTTCATAATGGTAGTAACAGCACAGATAGTAGTTCATATTGGTAGTAACAGCACAGATAATAGTTCATAATGGTAGTAACAACAGTAGTTCATAATGGTAGTAACAGCACAGACAGTAGTTCATAATGGTAGTAACAGCACAGACAGTAGTTCATAATGGTAGTAACAATAGTAGTTCATAATGGTGGTAACAGCACAGATAGTAGTTCATAATGGTAGTAACAACAGTAGTTCATAATGGTAGTAACAACAGTACTTCATAATGGTAGTAACAACAGTAGTTCATAATGGTAGTAACAATAGTAGTTCATAATGGTAGTAACAATAGTAGTTCATAATGGTAGTAACAACAGTGGTTCATAATGATAGTAACAACAGTAGTTCATAATGGCAGTAACAACAGTAGTTCATAATGGTAGTAACAACAATAGTTCATAATGGTAGTAACAACAATAGTTCATAATGGTAGTAACAACAATAGTTCATAAGGGCAGTAACAACAGTAGTTCATAATGGTAGTAACAACAGTAGTTCATAATGGTAGTAACAACAGTAGTTCATAATGGTAGTAACAATAGTAGTTCATAATGGTGGTAACAACATAGACAGTAGTTCATAATGGTAGTAACAATAGTAGTTCATAATGGTAGTAACAATAGTAGTTCATAATGGTAGTAACAACACAGATAGTAGTTCATAATGGTAGTAACAATAGTAGTTCATAATGGTAGTAACAACACAGATAGTAGTTCATAATGGTGGTAACAGCACAGGTTTTAGTTCATAATAGTGGTCACAGCACAGATAGTACTGGTGGTCACAGCACAGATATTAGTTCATCATGAAGTCTGTGCCTCACGACAAACAAACAAATAGGTTATAATATCGTATGTATAAAAACAAGAACTTTATCCAACCAAAGTATGTGAATTCCATGGGTAGTCTTGAACTTGAAATTTGATAACTACAAACTTATTGAATTAAATGGAAAAACTTGCATTTTTTATACATTGGTTATATGATTTTTACCAAACTATTATCACTATACTAGACTAGATGATTTTTGGTATCATTGCTATAGTTACAGTGCTACTTTTAATCTTAACCCTGATCAGCACACCTGTGAAAAGCTGCATTGTAAAGGTAGTAAATTTAAGTAAGTTTCAGAAAAACCTTGTTAAGCATATGAATGATAAGGGTAGGCTTTATGACTTTTTTTTAATTATTTTAATTTAGTTTAGAGGATGGAACAGCCGAGATGGGCCAATGGGTACCATGTTGTCCCAAAATGTTATGTCCAACCAAACTTCAGCACAAAATTACCATTATAGTAAGTTCTGGATTGTAATTCCAAAACTAATTGCATTACAACTTACAAGTTTTATTAGGGTTAGCGTGCAATGTGAACAACATAAAAATATATGTTTTCTAGAAGAAATTACAAAATTACATTGTTCCCAGTATACAAATAAGTAGTATGAAACCATTCCTTATACAAACAGTGTCAAAAAATAACAGTTTTATTATACTCCTATATTCAAGTCATTATCTACCAATATATGATGAGATTACCATAATACTGCTGAATTCAACTCAAAGAAAACTGAAGATGTAGGTTGTGTGTTACCTTGGGTCTAACCAAACATAAATGTATTCTTATACTTTTAATAGTAGGCTAGGGATTAAAAATTCAATAAGCAGGTTATTTACAACAATTATTAAACAAGGTTTCTATAAAATAGGGCATTATAACTAATATTTATATAAGCAGTCATCATAGAGAACACCTGTTGATGAATGAGATACACATACATGCTTACCACAATGATGTTCAAATTGATATCAAACAGATCATATGATACTGTACTACTTTGATGAATTATTCTCTACAACAGCATATATAGTGCAATACACGTTTAGAAATTTGTTTCGTATTCTATAGCCTAGAGGGCGAACTGCATATATGTACTGATGGTATTGATCTATATTGACAGAACGAGGTAAGCGTGGTCTCGAGATAAATATTAGATTATAGTTACGTACTCCATTTGCCTGTTTCGAAAACAATAGTGTCACATTGATCCAGGGTTTCTGCCTGACAATTACTTGAACTGATATAAATTTGCAATAAGTGTGTAAAAAGATACACAAATTACAATCAAGAAAGTTGTTCGGGTCCATATGGACCCCGGGCCAGGTGTACTGAGGAGGGTTAACCTACACCTGCTTATAATAAAATATATTACATTCTTCTTTAATAAACAAAGGGGAAAGGGAACAAATATTGACTGAGACTTCTTATACAACAGTACAAGCCCCAAGAAATATTGTAGACTGTATTATACAAGTGTAATTTTCCCACAGCGGACGACAGGTTTAGTTATTCCCACACAATTACGATCGTCAATTAGGCGTAACCTAGAAAAAGACCCATAATAAAATTAGGTTATATAACAGAAGACGAAACAATGTGAGTAATAACATGCTAAAAATACTTACATCTATTATCATAATCGTTTGTTACATAGTAAAATTTAATTATCTGTAGCATACTAAACCACTATTTTAGCAACTTAAAAAGCATTACTGCCATCTGCTGGTAATTAAACATGTACTGACGAAACGAAGGGCTACATTTTATTTTAGACAGCAGACTTATTTCTCAAGTTTGGGGGTCAATTAATTGTGTCTTACACACGTTATATGTATTGTTTTCACGTAACACGTAGGCGGAAAAGGCGTTAAGTTGACTTACTTCCAGCTTTCTTTGTTCCTTTATGTTACAGTATCTGCTACTGTAAAATTTAACATTATTTTCGCTTGTTATGGTGTGAATACCACATACAGAATGACGAAGTATGACTGTGTTACGTCTCTGGTCGTTTGTTAATTTGCCGTAAAAATTATTTCCGAAGAACTTCAGCGATACAAGTCCTTTCTTGAATAAAATTAGTTTATACTTTCTCAATACAACTTTGCAACACACTTAATTTCCATAGTCACTTCCACTTCAACACACGCTAAAATTCACAACGATTCACGCACTTTACTTGCGAGTTGACTCGCTTATCTGTCTCTATATCTCACTTCGATCTGCTATTATATCTTCGCTTTACTT